AAGTAGCTCAGGAAGGTGTGCCTTCTCAGTGGGCAAGCAGGCCAGTAGGGTCACTGTGGTGACCTCTTCCTGTTTGTGCTTTTCACAGAAAGCATTTCTTTTGCATGAATTTGGTGTTGTCACCTTCATAGAAGCAGTAACTTGTCCAGAAAGAGGACGTATGGCATATTTTACAAGATTCAACCGTCACCCCCCTGACTTCGCTAGGCTGCAGTTTGCCCAGAAATGACTCCTGGATGGTGATGTGACAGCTCCCTCTAGTGTCACTGTGGCTCAGGCTCTCGCAGGGCTTTGCTTCCTCAGAAAGTGTGGACAGTACAGAATCTGTCAGAATTGGTGGCAGTTTAAATAGGTTGTTCCCACGGAGTCAAAACAAATATGAGATGATTTTTCTCCTGTTAAAAAAGAGAATCTTGCATGAAGATATGGGACCATTCCAGCTCCTGTTCTGTTCCTGTTTCAAAATTTGGGGGAGCCCAGAGTCCTGTGGAAATCATTCTTCTTGGGGAGTGGAATCTTTTTGGAAATTCCTGCAGTTCAAGCCAACTGCCCTTTGAGGGAAGAAATGTAAATTCCTTTCAAGAAAGATAAATGAAAATGGGAGGCCAAGGGGAAGTCACTTTGTTGTAGAATAGAGAAAATAAGAGAGGGAGGTAAAAACAACAACCAGCAGGAAGAACCCTGTCCATTTGTTCTAGAAAGAGCAGCTTGTTTTCTGAAATAACTTTTGGACTAGAAATTTATCATCTGAAGTCAGGTAATTTTGAGTTTTTTTAAAAACACTAAAGGAGTCAAGTTATTAATATTTGAGAAATGGCTACTATGTGGTACATAGAATAATATAATACTCCTACCTAAATTAACATCATCACAAAGCTCCATAATAAAGATTTATGAGATACTCATCACATAAGAAATCCTATTTTGGAAATCTCCGTTGGTCTGTATTTTGGTTGTAACTGTTTTCACAGTTATGAACCAGTTAGAAGCCCTAGTATTTTGTTTCCCTCTATCATGCTCCAGTCTTCTCCCTTTTCCCTTTGCCCTTTAAACTAGAGTGACCCATTATTCTTTGGCCTGTCTACATATTGTAAGATGGGGAGATAAGGAAGTGTCACCTGCTCAGGTCGGCTCTCCAGGCAGGCCATTTTCCTTCAGAGCATCCGCACTGGTTGAGCGATTTATCATTTCTTCTTTGTATATCACTTTGAACCTTTATCTCAAATTGATCTGTGAAACTAAACATAAATTCTTCTTGTAGTGCCCATGTTCATTGTCTAGTCACACAGCTCTGGGGAATCTTATACAAGTGTGTGTGTCTGTGTGTCAGCAGATACCATGAGGATAACATGAGGAGAGTGGCGGTCACAATGAGAATATCTTCTCTGCTTCTAATGCCAAACCACAGAGTGGCAGGTGTTTTTCAGTGCAGCTTAGCGTAGTAAAACCTACAGATTGACCAAACACTTCTGAGAGAGAAGAGAGCCTTATATTGGCCTGTCTTGGGCCAGAACATACTGCCAGTTTGATTTGCTTGTCAGGGCTGACCCTGGCCTGGAGGTCCTGGACATTAGTTCTTCCTCTCTGGCTGCCCTCTACCAAACCTGTGGTCAGAGAGTCTCACTGCTGGGGCAGGTGGCTCTCAGGACTCAAAAAGAAAGATGCATTTTTCTGTTTTGCTCTCTCTGTTTGAAAAACATGAGGATTCTATAATATTACATCACTTTTAACATTTGCAGGTTTTAGTCACTATCAGTGTTACATTTGTGAAGCTTTGAGATTTATAGATCAACTCTATGGAATTAGTCTCCTTTAATCCTCACAGCTGCTCTGGTGAGGTAGGTTTCAGGATTTTTTTTTTTTTAATTTTATTTTTTATTTTTTTAAATTTACATCCAAATTAGCATACAGTGCAACAATGATTTCGGGAGTAGATTCCTTAGTGCCCCTTACCCATTTAGCCCATCCCCCCTCCCACAACCGCTCCAGTAACCCTCAGTTTGTTCTCCATATTTATGAGTCTCTTCTGTCTTGTCCCCCTCCCTGTTTTTATATTATTTTTGTTTCCCTTCCCTTATGTTCATCTGTTTTGTCTCTTAAAGTCCTCATATAAGTAAAGTCATATGATTTTTGTCTTTCTCTGACTAATTTCACTTAGCATAATAGCCTCCAGTTCCATCCACGTAGTTGCAATGGCAAGATTTCATTCTTTTTGATGGCCAAGTAATACTCCATTGTATATATATACACCATATCTTCTTTGTCCATTCATCCATCGATGGACATTTGGGCTCTTTCCATACTTTGGCTATTGTTGATAGTGCTGCTATAAACATGGGGGTGCATGTGTCCCTTCGAAACAGCACACCTGTATCCCTTGGATAAATGCCTAGTAGTGCAATTGCTGGGTCATAGGGTAGTTCTATTTTAGTTTCTTGAGGAACCTCCATACTATTTTCCAGAGTGGCTGCACCAGCTTGCATTCCCACAGGATTTTTTTTTATATTGTCTCCTTTATTTAGGGAGACTGAAACCCAGAGACATGCCCATGGTCACACAGTTAGTGGCGGGAGTAAATCCCAGGCCTGCCAAGTTCATTGGTGAGTGCCCTTTCTATAACATGACTGCTAGCGTTTAACTACAGTCTCATTCAGCTAAACTCAGTGGTATATTGACTTTTCAAAGACCAAGGAGTTGGGAACTTTAAACTTTCATTGCAGCCAGTAATGTGATGTTGAGCAAATTATTAAAATTGGAAATGGGGTTAATGATGTTGTGTGCTATATCCAACTCCTATACAACTAAATGATGACAAGTATAGGGTTTTTAAATACCTGCTGACACATAAATATGAAATATTGCCAACAGTACAGTATAGAAAGAATTCATGCCATGATTGATGAGTATACAGAATTATATATTATACTGTGTGTACTGAGACTTTGAGAACTTTCCAAAGATAATATTTTCTGAAAGATATATGTTTGAACTTGAACTCTGCCTGGGGTTATCTCAGTTTCAAGACTAGATGATGTAGCTGGTAGAAGACTTGAAAAAACTTGTTTTCAGACCTCTTCCCCTCCCTCCCATCGAGAGAAAGAGAGAGAGAGAGAGACAGAGAGAGAGGGAGGGAGGGAGAGAAAGAGAGAAACTTAAAAAAAAACACTCATTATAATAAATATGTATAAACACAGTGAATGAGAAAGGGATGCTCCTCTCCCAAGGGTACTCCTTTACCTTTGGTCTGTTGTGGGTGGTTTTTTTGTAAATGTTCACTTATTTTTAAGGAATGGGGGAGGGGCAGAGAAACAGGGAGACACAGAATCCGAAGTAGGCTCCAGGCTCTGAGTTGTCAGCACAGAGCCCAATGCAGAGCTCAAACCCATGGACTGCAAGACCATGACCTGAGCCTAAGTCGGACAGTTAACCAACTCTGCCACCCAGGTGCTGTTTTAGGGGTTTCGTGTTTTTCATTTCTTTTCTTTTTTTTTCTTTCAGTTTTTTCATCATGATAAGTATACTCTTTAATCCTCATCACCTATTTCATACTTTTCTTAATATCTATTTGAATGGAAATCAGAGCATGCTGTTTCTCAGAACTGAGATTCATCAGCATCCTCCCGGGAAAATGTACATTTTTCTTTTGAAATAAAAATAGCTAGAAAATCCTTTTTAAAATTTGCTTCTTTTCTGTATTACTGCAGCAAACAGGCAGTGTGAACATTTCAGAGTGCCTGTTGCTGGGAGGCTTAGATACCTGTGAAATATGGCAGCATATCCCTGCTAAGGATAGAAAATGCACTTCTCAGTTAATAGGCTCGGGGAAAAGCTGTTCTGACCTGGCTGTTATGATCTGTGAACTAGTGTTAGGGACCGAGTCTTCCATTGTTAGCTTCTCTGCACCCTATCATAAGCAGAGTCCATTTAGGGGTACTTTCATTTACTTTTTGCTTTTCTAACCCTGTAAGACTAGAAATAACAGTAGTTGCTTTGGTATGTAGAACTTGTTGCCTAGTGTTTGTGATCAAAAAACTCTCCCATGATCCACAACCCCTTAATCAAATTCTTTCTTAAAGACCTTATTACCTAAATATGGCCTTTCAATAAGGCCTAATGTTAAGGGAAAGCATGAAACTCAAAGTCCTGCCATTGAAATGTTGGTTTTGCTCTGACTAGGTCAGACCAATGATTCTCTCAAATCTTTATTTCTACCCTGCCAGTCATCCATGAGTGCCTGAATTGTGACCAGCACAATGACATTGATTGAAAATTAGGAAAACCCACACTTTATCTGGCCAATTGTGTGTTACTCTCCTGACCAGTGACAAAATAAGGTATCCTGGCCCACTTTATTGAGCTATCATATAAGTCTCGGCTGTTAGCCTCTACGGAATGTAAGTGAAAAATTATTTTTGGTTGTTCTATTTTCTAGATGAGGTACAAGGTACAGTAGAAAAAGCAAACTTTGGTGTTAGATAGACTTAGGTTTGCAAACTGGTAGCTCTCTTTGTTGTTTTAATTTTTTTTTTAATGTTTTTATTTATTTTTGAGACAATGCGAGAGACAGAGTGCAAACAGCGGAGGGGCAGACAGAGAATCTGAAGCAGGCTCCAGGCTCTGAGCTGTCAGCACAGAGCCTGACACAGGGCTCAAACTCACCAACCATGAGATCATGACCTGAGCTGAAGTCGGACACTTAACTGACTGAGCCACTCAGGCGCCCCTGTTGTTTTAAATTCTTAAACTCTCAGCCTACTTTGAAGAGTTAGTGTAAGGACTAGAGATAAGACACATAAAGTGCTCAGCATGTAGATAGCCATAAAAAATGGTTATTATTGCCATTATTACTGTCACTCAGCAAAGGACTACCAAGACCCTTTCTGAAGACTTCACTATAACACTGTTTCTAACCAGTCACCTTCCAATTAATCCTCCTTTACACATCTAAGCCTGGTTATGAAAGTGTGCATTTTATGTTGTTATTTGCTTTCTTCTTTCAGATCTGTAAGAGCAAAGCTAAAGAATCTCAGCAGTATTATCACAGCTTGGCTGTCCGGCAGAGTCTGGCTATCCATTTCAACATCCAACAGGACTGTGGGCATTTCCTTGCTGAAGTCCCTAATCGTCTGCTTCCCTGGGAGGATCCTGATGCCCCTGAAGAGGAAGAGGATGAAATGAAAGAGGCTGAAGAAGAGGTAAAAGGAGAAACTGATGGGAAAAGGCCAGAGCCCTGCTCTGAAACAGAGTCATCCCAGAAAGAAAGCCAGGGGGTCATTAGCAGGAAGCAGAGAAGCCACGTTGTGGTCATCACCAGAGAGGTTCCCTATCTCACCGTGGCTGATTTTGTGCGAGACTCTCTGGCCCAGCACGGGAAAAGCCCTGATTTATATGAGAGACAAGTGTGTCTGCTACTCTTACAGCTGTGCTCTGGCCTTGAGCACCTCAAACCCTACCATGTCACTCACTGCGATCTTCGTCTGGAGAACCTGCTGCTTGTCCACTACCAGCCAGGGAGAACCACCCAGGGCCTTGGGCCTACAGAGTCCAGCCCCACCTCGTCTTGCCCCACAAGGCTCATAGTGAGCAATTTCTCTCAGGCCAAGCAGAAGAGCCATCTGGTGGACCCTGAGATCCTCCGGGACCAGTCCCGCCTTGCTCCAGAGATCATAACAGCCACCCAGTATAAAAAGTGTGATGAGTTCCAGACAGGCATCCTCATCTATGAGATGCTGCACCTGCCCAACCCCTTTGATGAGAACCCAGAGCTGAAGGAGAAAGAATACACTCGAGCAGACCTGCCTCGCATCCCACTCCGCTCCCCCTATTCCCGGGGCCTACAGCAGCTGGCCAGCTGCCTCCTCAATCCCAACCCTTCTGAGCGGATCCTCATTTCAGACGCCAAAGGCATCCTCCAGTGTCTACTCTGGGGCCCCCGGGAGGATCTCTTCCAGACTTTCATGGCCTCTCCTAGCCCAGCGCAGAGGAGCGCCCTTCTCCAAAACTGGCTAGACATCAAGCGAACACTGCTGATGATCAAGTTTGCTGAGAAGTCTCTGGACAGGGAGGGTGGGGTCAGCCTTGAGGACTGGCTTTGTGCTCAGTATTTGGCCTTTGCCACTCCAGACTCCCTCGGCTGCATTGTGAAAACCCTGCAGCACCGCTAGTGTGTCCTGGTTGCTGCTTGTCTTTTGTGTTCACCTTCACGTCGCCCATGCACTTCCCCTTCCTAGTACTCACACAGAATTCAAGGAAAGAAGAGAGACCGACCTTCCATCCCTCTCCAGGAAAAATGAGTCTGCTCAGAAAGCTTACCCACAGTTCCAGATCCAGTCAGAAGCTGGGTCTGTCTTCACTGCACAGAAATTCGATTGCACAGCCGTGCAGTCGCCTTCCATTGGAACACCTTTCACCCTAATTGTCCCCAAATGCAGGTAAAAAATGAAAATGTATATCCTTGAAGGGACAGCTCCTTTAGTATGAACTCATTGAGCTGTGTCCAGCTCCTCCATAATTCTGAAGACCACCTGTCTTTTTAACACCAAGTATTTATTCTCACTAGCAATAGACAGATTTGACCAGTCCTTACTATCATCCACTAAGCTCTCACAACAGATTTTTTTTCTTCTTTAAAGTATCAATAACTGACTCTTACCAGGCAGAACTGCCATCCTTAGCATCAGCCCAGTCTTGTTTCTGGGGACTATAGCCTTTGTTCCAGCAGATAGTAGAAAGACAAGGAGAGATTCCATCCCTTGGGTCATGAATGCATTTTCATTTGTTATAGGCAAGTGGGCGCACCACCTGGAGGATGGCCCTAGTGGTCCCCTCTGCTGCCACTGCCTGATTCTCCTTCACCTCTACTCTGTTCCCACTTGCCAATGAAGTTTGGGTTTATCAACCACTTGTGGCCCATTATAGAACTGACCCAAGGTGGTGTCTCCAATGCCTCTCCAGGGTGAGTACAGTTCAGATCTTATAAATAGCTGGCAGGACACCGGGAGATGATTTTCCACATGTGCAGTTCCCTAGGGGCCACCAGGGGAATAGCTGAAAGTGCTGTCTTTGATTACTGTCAGAGCTGTCGGCGTGGACAGCCAGCGCTGGCGGAACCCAGCTCCCGGTGTTCCCCTGAGCAGTAATTGGCCAGCTTCTTTCTAGCAGTGGCCAGTGTTAACTAGTCTACCAAATGCTGTGGACAGCAGCCGTGAATGAGACGGCTGTCAGTTGAGCTCTGAGATCTGCTTGGAGGGCACGGTGTGCTGGTGAGAGGCCAGAGAGGGGAGGAGGCCACTGATGAGACCGCTGGCCTCCTCCTCAGAACGCTGACCTTTGCTGAAGAGGCTGCCTCCCAGTTGCACTGCCCATTGCTCCTTGGGACTCTCCGAAATGGCTCTGGAGGATGGCTGGCAGCAATTTCAAATGCTGGGGTGGGTGCCTGTGAGCTGTGCACCATACATGGGCTCTGTGCTCCTCTCCTATGAATATATGTGCAATTTTTGTATGTATTGTTTTAACTGTATATTACAGTGTTTATGTGGCAACTTCACCTGAAGCAAGTTCTACAGAAATCCTCCCCTTCTTCCCTTGGCACATACGTGTTTGCGCTAAGAGATGAGTGTTCCTTCCGGGTAGTGGGGGTGGGAGGTGACATGTGTGTGCTTGTTTTCTTCAAAACTGTGAGTATCTGTTTACTTCAACCTTGAAATCCCAAGAGTCACTCAGACGGTGTAAGTGTGTGTACACGTGGGTGCACACACGTGTGCTGGAAGTAGAGGCCAGGCCTCTGAGGGGAACAACCTGTGGCGGGGTTGATGGACACGTTCTCTGCATCTAGTCGGCGAGGGAGCTCTGGGACCCTCCTCTGCCAGCGCAGAGTTCCTTAAAAGCCAAGACTGATTGTGCAGTATTACTTAGATAGCACATTAGTGGCCTTTTGGAAGTTTCTAAACTTTTAACATTTTTAACAGCCTTTCATATGATTCACCTATATCAAAGAGGATCAAGAAAGGAGAAGAATGTATTTTATTGTGATCTTCTTTGGTTTTGTTTTGTTTTGTTTTAAGAAAAAGGGACACGTGAGGTTCCAAAGGGAGGATGTCCCTGTCCTCCTGGCCAGCAGTACAGGACTCCCAAGGAAAAGGACTCACTGGCCCACAGGGTCTGGCCTCCTCTAGCCAGAGAGCAGGGCTCTGCCCCGAGGAATGGCCACAGAGGGGGCGTGCCGCTGCAGGCCAGCAGTCCTCTCTGTCTCAGTGTCCTGTGGCCTGGCTGCGCCTTGCCTGGCAGACTGTGTTTAGTTCACCGTAGCATAGCCCATGTGCACATAACTCCTTGCCTAATTAATACACTGAAGTAGCAGCACACAGACCACTGGCCATGTCGGCCAGCACATTCCCCCAGCAGTCCTCCCTCCCCTCCCCCAGACGGTTTGCAGATTGAGACACTTTCTCAATGTCATTCTTGTGGTGCCTTGCCCATGTAAATTTGAATGTTGACTATTTAATGAGGCTTCATATTTAATGAAGAATGTTCCCTGGTCCCTCTATTTGCTTATTGGCTCTCTAGATATCCTCTTTCGTTTCTCTTCTTTTTTATTTTATTTTATTTTTTTTCTGTTTGACTTGGATCCAGTCTTCTTCATTTTAACCCTATGGTATTATAGGCATGGACACTCCCCACTACCGTCATCTTTCAGCACTGGTAAACTGAGCACCTCCTTCACATCAGATTTGTTTAGTACTGTTTTTATATTCAAATTTGTGAAGGCCAAAAGATGAATGCCAACTAGTCAGAGAAGGGCCTCAGGCTTCCCAGAGGCAGGTGGCTAGATTAATTTTTCTCTGAGTGGTGGCTGAGGATGTGAGGGAGAGGGAAAGGGGTGTTAGAGCAGAACAGACAAGATAACTGTATTTCTAGACAAGAAGTTCTCCATCAGATGGTCCTTGGAATATTTTTCCAGAATAATGAAATTCAGTCAATCTAATATCATCACAAGTAGTTTTTTACAGTCCTATTTTAATTATAGTAGAATCTTTGAATTCATTCCTCAACTGGCAAGAAATCCTACCTTCAGACATCTGTATATACATGAGTTTTGCTTTATGACTAGTATTAGCACTTTATGTTTTCTCGAGTAACATCCAGTTATTGTCTTCAATATTAATTGGAATTTTTTTCTATTCTGTTGAAGTCTGTACTACAGATTCTTCCATTTATATTGAGAGTTTGAACAATTAAGCCATCATTGGGACTTTACCTTAAGCCGCATGAGCAAGAACAATTTCTCTGACACATTTTGGTGCTAGAGAAACAGGGAAATGGGGGGAGTAGCAAAGACCAAGACTGAATGTATAGCAGAGTGCCTTGTTAGAGTGACAACCTAGTCTTGGAAAGAAGAGAATCCCATGTCCTGCGGAGAGGACTAGGACTACATGACTTCTCCCATGCCGGCCTGAGGAAGAGCCCCTTTGGTAAATGTACACCGACGTGATGCTCAGAAGCTAATTTGTGGAGAATAACTGCAGGATGGGACAAAGAGCAGTTGCAACCTATGGAGTCAACGAAAGAATCCCTAGACGAAGTTAGAATTGGAGGCCAGGACTATAGCAGTCGGCTCCAAGCTTTGCCCTCTGGAGATGAACTGGGTAAAGGTAGACAGGGCCCAAGCACCCATGCTACTGATGTTGGGGCCTAACATATGCTTGTTAGGATTTGAAGAGGCTGAGTAGCCTTCCATTGTCAGATTAAGTGGAGGCCAGTTTTGCTTCCAGACTTGGAAGAAGTTTGTTACCATGGGAAACTGTTAAGCCAAGAGATCTAAACCTCTAGAAATATTAATGATATTTCTGGAAGTAAAACTGTATTTTAAAGTTTCTAGCATTATAAGTTTTCATGAAGGATCTTTGGGGCCTACTACATAGTGGGGCATGGAAAGATTGCACTCAGCTTCCCAAATTTGAATTAAAAATACTTTGATGCTGGGAAGTAACCTGACCTGGTTTTGCTGGTAACCTGCAAATAATATTTTTCCCTAGATTATACGGACAGTGATCTGAAAAAAATACAGACCAGTCCCAGAAGTCAGGATGTACTTAGGATATTGCCCTATATTCCAAATGATTCTAGATGTATGAATAAAGTACAAACATACTTGAAGACGAAGGAGAGAGAAACTTGGCTCTCCAGGCCAATTCTGACATGTTTTTTATTTCCCTTGCTAGTTGATAAGGATTGAAAATTCTGGTCCAGCCTAATGAGTGAACAGGATGGCTGCCCACAAAACCAGGTTATTAGTTTTACCTCATTGAAGCTCATATTCTCAGAGGCCCAAAGTGCTGTGCCGAGACAAATCCAAGTGCTGCTCTTGCTGAAGTGTGCACTGAAGTCCAGCTGCCCATGCTTACGGCAGTGCCCAAAGTCGGGGTTCCATGGACCAAAACTGATGCCACAAGGGAAGCCAGAGGAGCTACAGTGCAAGATCCTAGATAGAGATTATACCAAAGAAATCAAGCCTTTTTGTCCTGATGCTTGAGTTATGACAGATGCCAGAGAAGAAGAACTCACATACATTCCATGTCAAGGTATTTGGCTGATAAAATAATCCATCCTCCAAACAAAGCACCTATCTTTTTAAAATAAGTCCATTTTGTATATTAGGAAAAAAAGAAAAGATGATGGTGATGGTGAAAGTCTGGGACAGACAGTGATATTTCCCAGTAATTAAGGAGAAGGAGCCAGCCCCCGCTCTCCCTGTGATGTGACTGTGGCCGTTGCCCGGACTTCGGTTTGGGAACTTCATCATGTCCATGTGATTCGGAAAGCTGAGCAATCTTTTCTAAGAGATGTGGTAGTTTCAACAGCTTTGTTTAAAGAGCTCCTGGGAGATTTCTTAACAAATTCTAGTAGTTTTTATAAACCTTCCTACAGAGGTGGTTACCACTCATCACCATCATTTAATATTTATAAGTGCCCAGAATGTACAAGGTGCTATACAGCTGTTACACATCCCCTCTCTGCAGCTGTTTGAAATTAGAGTAGGTTTTTGCATCAGCCACTGCTACAAGCTTCCCCACCTAAGTGGGCTACAGGGGCCTGCGTTCCGGACATCCCATTACGTTTCCCACTCCAGAGAGCCTCTGGGCTCCTTCCAGCTTCTCACCTTCAC